TGTGATCCACATATTCAATCAAAATCATTTAATTCAAAGCATATTTTGATTGGAACAAAGTTGACATGGAAAGAAACTCTAGAATAAAAAAGTTGAAAGAACTTTATATCATATATTTAGCAAGAAAATTTGAAACAGTTCTAATTAGGCTGAAAAAAACTGCTTTCTTCAATGTAAATTACAAAGGTCATATATCAATGTTAAGGAAACATTACCACTAGTGTTTGAAATCCAGCACATGCAAACATAACACACCAGTTCACTTTCAGTCTGTGTGTGTGTGTGTGTGTGTGTGTAAGAGAGAAAAAAGAAGTTTGTGTTACATGTATTTAAAATGAAAAATACTTAAAATTCTGAGTTCATAATATTGTATATTGCGTTCTCGCCAATCTAAACATTAACTCCTTTGAAACATTACTATATACACTCAAATGACATAGAACTCTTAATTATAGATACAATTAATCATTTAGAAAACTAATTTTTGTTCTTCCATTGCAAATGATTACATCTTCTAATTAAGTTGTATGAAGTCTAGAAAGTTAATCAATGATTTTTATTTTTTTTTTTTTGTTTGAATCTTACAGAATTTGGTATCTCAGAACTGAATTGTCCTTCTATTGATAGAAACCTGAGGATGGAAGTATAGTTGTATAGGTGTGGGGATATGTGTTTTGGGACAGCACAGACTTATTTCCTTCTGGTTATACAGTTATTTTTATATTTTAGAGTTTGTAAATTACTATTTACAAACATGAATCAGATGATCATTTCATCTAATTTTTAAAAGTCACTTATCCTATAAATATCAATAGCTTATTATGTAGTTGCCTTTAAAAAATGGTGTGGCATGAGAATATTTAGCAAAAGTTTAAATATTAGCATTAATCTGCAAATTCTGAGAAACACACATTATATACAAATAAAGCTTTCTCGTCTTGAGGTAAACAATTATCTATTAATGTCTCATTAATTGAAATTGTTTTTCTCGACATTACATTACATTTCTACATTGGTTTTTGAAAATAAAAGGATATGCTAGAGTATCTGTAAAGCACATAAGATTAAACACATGCCTTTTTAAAAAGATATTCCATTCTCAAATAGTTTAGAATTTCTTGGGAGAAGCAAACTATATGTAAGTTCTTTTAATTCCACTATAGCAAATAAAAATAATTTTATGTAACTTTTTAAAATAAATAATTCATTTCTTTAATGGGTTTATTTCAGAAAAACAGATCGCATTCTTTCAATGAGATTCATTGTTAGACACATATTCATATGTTATAATTATTTCTGACACAGGGTTACACAAATGAGTTTTATGAATAATTTAATATTATTTTTAATATTAAAGCTATAATTTGTTGATGTTCTATGTATGAACCGAACAAATGAAAGTTACTAATATGTGTTTGTATTTGACATCTGTATACTGTACTTTTTAGCATATCTCAAGTGTTTTACTCTCTGCTTAATAGATCTCATTTAAAAAACAGATATCAGCCCCAAGACAGTTTGTCAAGACTAATATGAGTCCCCCTGGATTGGAGTGACAATTTGTGTGAGGCTTCATATAATAGTCTTTTCATAGTCTTATTTGATCCTTAACAATTGGACATTAGTCACTGATTTATTTTATAATAACTCAGATGAGTTGAATATTATTGTATTGTGTTGGACATTTTAGTGGATTTTCTTTTTTACAAATTTCACTCAGAGCACACATTGGATGTAAATGATGTATCCAGCCTGCTCAGGAGTACTAACGATTGATTGGTTGGGTTTGAGAGCAGCTTGGGAAGAATGTTAGTATCCCCTAGCTGCAAGCCGTATTTAACTCCAGTCTTAATGAGGACTGTCTGTCCTAAAAGCTTTGAGAAATCTCAAATGTTTAGCATTCCACTGGCATAATTTTTTTTTTTTTGTGACTGAAAATGTGGGTATAAATATTTTATATAAAGATATTTTTTAAATTCTTAGTATATAAAAAGGAATTAAAAATTTTTAGTGCTTCATGCATTATGTTTTTGAATCTCAGAAACTAGTTATAAAATATAATAAATATCAAGGTATATCATTTTGAATTATTTCCTATTTGTGTTTATTTTCCCTCAATAATTTCCTTCTGCTTATTCTCCCCTCAAGTCTTTAGCTAGTACATTTGTTTATTATTATATACTTTTGGTTGGGCAGTTGTCATTGAATGACACCAAAAGAATGTTGAAAGTCCTGAGCTGACTTTGTTCTGAAATGATTTCAAAATCTTTTGGCTTCCTCTGACATCCATTGCAGTTGTTCTTTGGGGTCCCTGTTTAAAGATATGCTTGAAGACTGTTAATGAGATTTTTAGTTTAGTTTTTTAAAACGTATTTAAAGTATTCATGAAAGTGAGATGTTTATCAAGCTCTGGCAAAGCTTTTGCCGATAATTCCATGAATTACGCCCTCCTGGACTGGCCAGCGTGGCAGTGTATGGGGAGGGCTGCACCCTGGCTCTATGGTCATCTCCGCACGTGAGTTTGCCGGGTAATGTGAAAGGGTCTTTGGTTACAGCGTTTTTGCTTAACATTTTGATGTGGTGTCAAGATGTAAGGGTTTAAGCATCTGAGTCTATCCCACTTCACTATTTTGAATGTTCATAAAGAAGTAATCAACGCGAGGAAAACACACAATTCTTTGTTTGATGACACATAAAATAAAATTGCACTAGAGTTTAGAGCTTTAATATTGAGAAAATGCATTTCTACTTTATCATTTGCTGAGTCTTAAAGAATTTTATAGTCTCAAATCACAACACCACAGACACTCAAGAGACTCCTGACTGTTTTATCTTATTAAACAATTTTGAAATCATTAATTTTTAATTAGCTTGGATGTAGGTTTTTTTTTATTGTTTCAATAGTGTGTGTATATGAACTAAATGTTTTTTATTTAAACTACTGGTGAGAATATTATTTACATAAATAAGTGTAGGTTCTTGCTAAGAGTACATACGTGAGTTTTGCTTCATGTCACCACACTTATTTTGTGACTCGTAGATACTGCATGCTAATCTATTATAGAGATTTTCAGCAGTTTATTGCCTCAGATTTTGAACAACTAAAAAGGATGTAAGCTCTAAGATATGTATAGGCCCTTCCCTGATTGAAAGTTCTAATTAAGTGAATTGGAGAAAATTAACTGAAATTAGCTGTCAGAAAGTCACATTTAAATGAGTGATGAGCTAGTCTGGCAGTAAACATTTAAATGATATAAATTGCCATTTAAGTGTATGGTTTAATGTTTGTCATGCATTAATGTGACATGAGACTGCAGTGACAATCAAGCAGCTTGCTCTAATTTGAACATATTTAGGGCTTTTGTGTGGAGTGCACTGCACACAAATTAAGACAATTGCTGTTTTTTATGTGTCACTTTAAACACCCCCATCCCTACCCGAGACTTAAGTTAATGAAACAAATGCATCTTCTTATGTGTGCAACTTGCATTAATAGTTCCTATATTTTAGGATTAATTTTAAACCTTATACTTAAAATAAAAATTTACTTAAAGTTATTACAAGCCCTTCTTATTTCAAATAAAATGTGAAAGTTTTGTTCTCTCGTAGCTGTTAACTAAGTTTGTAAATATAAAGAGTTTACATGAGATCTCTAAAACAGTAATTTTCACAATTGAAACTGGCTAAATGTTTTTTAGACCTATTTAATTTCAGGAATATGAGAATTACTTAACAATTTATTTACAGCATTATTTTTTACATTTTATAATATGTGATATGAAGCCATGTTAAATATTATTAAAGGAAATATTTTATTGAACCATAAACATCTTATTCACAGCACTTATTTTCATAAAGTATGTATTTACACAATTTCCATCTGTGAACATTAATAGAAATGTCTTTTTTTCACAATATGGTTTACATCTTATTCATTGTTTTGTGTAAAAATCGATTTTGTTTTAAAACCAATAGATTTCCTTTTATAAAATCCATAATGTCTCAAACCCTCTCAAGAATACATCACAGTCATACATTTGTTGCTCTAAAAACAAGAATTTCAGTGAGATGCAGTACCTGATATTACCTGGTATATTTCAAATTATACTTCTGAGTTTAATTTTGAGAACTCTGTGGTTTGAATAGTGTTATCTATTAATCAACTAGCCCATAACACTAAACTTTTATGTTGGAATAATGTTGAACAATATTAAATCATGTAAATATGAATAAAAATAAAAATATATCTCCTATTTTTAGAACTGTTTAGTGTTTATTAATTCAGTAAACATCTATTGGTACTTATTGTGTTTAAGGTACAGTGATAGTAACTGGGAATGTAATGACAAATTGGAAGTGGATCTAAAGCATTTACACTGAATACTTGATTAAGTTCATTCATTATTTATTAATCACTATTATGCTAATAGCAATCAAATATTTGGTCTTGTTTGCTGTTAATGCCTAGAATAATAATTCAGTAATTATAAGTTTCCCTCCCAAGATCTAATTTGTTAGCATAAAAACTGAGTTGAAATAATGAAATGATTTGGTTACAGTTGTTACAGTAGACAATAAAATGTTTTAATTCTAGAAAAATTATAAATATTTCAAGTGGATAGTAAACATTTATGTTTTCACATTTGCTTTCCCAAATTTGCCTTTACAGTATATAGCCACCTTTTATTTTGAAATATAAGTTGAGTACCTGTCAGGCCCTGGGTTAGAAATGTGACCAAGATAGACCAGTGCTTACAGTACTATGGAATATTGTAGAACAGTCTGCATCATGCAGTCTGTGACAGGTTAGCATGGCCAGTGCCAAAAAGCTCTGATTACCAACAAAGGAGAACAGATTCCAGAGGATATTAGGACATCAGATTAAGTCTAATCACAGTAAATTTAGTGTTAAACTTTACTCCTTGTTCGGAATTTCTCAATACATTTTGAAGATAGAATTCAGCATAATGATATGATCTACACTTTTTTTTTTTTTTCAGGCCCTGGAGAGTGAGTTTGTTTCTTGCCAGCTTCACCAATGGATTGATCTTATTTTTGGTTATAAACAGCAAGGACCAGAGGCTGTTCGTTCCCTCAATGTGTTCTATTACTTGACCTATGAAGGAGCTGTCAATCTGAACTCAATAACTGATCCTATACTAAGAGAGGTAAGTTGTCTGAGTCCAACAAATATCTTTACTTTAGAAGGTACTTTACCTTTAGAAGGTAATAGTTATCATCTTCCTCTTGCTTTCATTTTACTGATACTGAAACCGAAACCAGATGGATGAAGTGACTTAAGCAAAATTACCTTTAAATCAGTGACCTATCTGGAACTTGAACCCAGAACTTCCCTCCAATGAAATGTTTAATAACAAAGAACTCATTAAGGGATCGATAATTATATTCATACTTTTTATAACTTTGAAGGCTACTTACTAATACAGTAGTAGGAAAATAGTAATTAACTCACTAAAGAGATAGCATGTATAATAAAGACTGGCTTTCAGACTGTATCTAATTGACTATTAGTTAAAAAAATGAAATATTAAAATCAGCTAGCTGTTTATAGATCACTAATGTAACTGGCCCTTTGTTTTTATTCTGGATTGACCACTTCTCCTCATATACACTAATGATTTACCAAGGAAGTTTGCCTTTTATCATTTAGTATAATCTAAAAGAACACTGTCCAGTAACACTTTCTGCAGTGATAGAAATGTTCATTATATCGACATTGTCCATATGGTAGCCACTAGTTGTATTTGAAATACTGGGCATTTTAAATGTGGATAATGTAACTTTGGAACTGAATATTTAACTTTAGTTAATTCAAATGTAAATAGCCATATATGGCTAGTGGCTACTGTATTGGACAGTGGAACACTAAAAGACTGCCATATATTGAGTTAGCATATTTCCTGAAAGTAAATTTAGGGTATGTGGCCAGACAATGGGATGATAAAACTTTGTTAAATTACCTTAGTAGCATATTTCAAACTGGCATGCACACATGCACACACACATATACACTAAATTCTTTCATTTAAACTAATCATGTTATAACTTCAAATGTTTTTTATTGTGACAAATATATGTAATAGAATTTACCACTTTAGCCACTTTTGAGTGTTTAATTTGGTATCATTAAGTTCATTCACTTTGTTGTGCAACCATCATTACTATCCACCTCCAGAAGCTTTTTTCATTCCCGAACTGGAACTCTGTGTCCATAAAGTGAGTAACTTCTCATTTCCCACATCCTCAACCATTGACAACCACCATTCTGTTTTCAGTCTCTAGGAATTTGATTACTCTAGGTATTTCTTATAAGCGGCCCTCTGTAATATTTGTCCTTTTGTGTCTGGGCTTATTTTACTTAGCATAATGTCTTCAAGGTTTGTGCATGTAGTGACATCTATCAGAATTTCCTTTTTAAGGCTAAGTAATATTCCATTGTTTGTGTATACTATATTTTGTTTCTCTGTCCATCTATTGATAGACATTTGGGGATTTTGGCTATTGTGAATAATGCTGTTATGCTTTCAGTTCTTTTGACCACATACCCTGAAGTAGAATTATTGGATATGTGGTAATTCTGTGTTTAACTTTTCAAGGTGCCACAATACCCAATAAGTTTTAACTGTTTTTCATTATCAGCATTTTCATGATTTTGCTGTAATATTTGTTGACTTTTCTTCCTCACAACAGCAAATACCTGATTATTGGCCAATTAAACTTTTTAACTAGAGAGTTTTTTGTTGATTACACCCTACTTGATGTATGCAGCAGCAATTAAAAATCATGGCCTATTATGTTCTAAGTATTCTCTCTTCCTAAAAGGAAATTATGTCACTTCATATGTTACTTCATTACTTAGCCCTATTCATATAACTATACATGATTAATTCACAAGGCTTTTTGAATGTTAAAACAAATATAATCTTTTACTCTAGCCATTCCATATCATAATGCTAAATCATATGGCTTGATGCCATATGATTTGATTCTGCCCCTGATGTTTCCTAATTGTGTAACTTGGATCTTCCTGAGACTGTTTTCTTACATATAGAGTTTGTATGAGAATGCCAACCCTGTGGAAGATGGCGTGTTAAGTGCCTGACATGCACCTATCCCATAAGCACTCAGTGTTAATTATTTCCCTTATGTTCACTGTTAATTCCTGGTTAAAAAACACAGCTATTAATAGCGTATGAATTACTGACTATATCATAGAAAGAATCATAAAATGTTAACATTAGAAAAGTTATTAGAGAACATTTCCTAGAGGACACAGAGTTCATTATAAAGTGAGCAAAGAGAAAACAACAACAATAGACTTTTTTTTGCAACAACCTTTACTCAACCCAAATTATGTAATCAGGTTAAAAACTGAAAGGCAAATCCCTGCCCTCATCAGCTATGCTTCACTATCTAGTGGGGGAAACAGGGATAAGTAAACAATTATAGTGCACTGTGATAAATTCAGGATAGAGATGGTTCACTGTATATTTAGTGTCTGGATAGACACTAAATCCAGAATTCCAGAATCCAGGTATGATTCTTCTGGGAAATGAGATGCTGGAGCCACACATTGAAGGATAAAATAAGAACATTGGGTACAGTTATGAGCAAAGGCTATATACACAGCAGAAATTACATAAGCTTCCTGCACATAGGTGAAAGAGATCGTGGCTCGGGAATATGATGTATAGGGATTGAACTGAAGGTGATTAGTTGAGAGAGATAACTAGGAACCAGACTGCAGAGGACTTTCAATGATATAAGAAGTTTTGACTGCATTGTGAAGCAGTGTATTAAAGGTTGAAGATTAGTGACAAAAACACACATATGTTTTTAGAGCCTGTTTGAAGAACATTGAAAACATAAGAACTGAAAAATGGTCATTGTATTTTTCTGAGTTACTAGAAAACTTAGAAGGTAGATGACAATTGTGTGAGTGGGAGGTGAAAGAGTAAACAGTGAGGAAAAGATCAGCACAGTCTAATTATTGACTCTTTTTGTCATCTTTAAAAGCACACTTATTCCCGTTAGCAGTCACTATAAAGGAGTTTTTTTTTATTTTTGATGGGTGGGTATCACCATGTTTCGGTGTTAATTGGTAAGACCTCAAAAGAGAGAAACATGTCAAACATACAGGAGAAAAGCAAGTAATAGATGATAAAGCTCTATGAGGAAGAGGAAAGGAAATCCAGAACACACAGATAAATAGTGGAGGGCAGAGAGCAAACAATCTAGTCTAGTCTGGGATTGTCAAGGTAGCCTGGAGACTTCTTATGCAGGTAAATCTGTACAAACGAGGTGAAAAGGCAACAAGCAACGGTTGGTACCAAGAGTGAGATATTTATGTAAATACCTAATATAGTGATGGGTGCTTAATAGATGTTCAATAATAATTATTTCTTTTTCATATTGTTTTCCTCTGTTCTCAGCAGCAGATTAGGTTTAGAAAGAAGTTGAATAGGAAAAATGTGTGTGTGTGTATGTGTGTGACTATAATGAGAAGAACGAGAGGGTGAGAAGAAGATAAATGGATACCTCTCTAGTATTCAAAGCAAAGAAGACGAGACTTATTTCTGTTCAGTAACTATAATTTTACTTATTTCTACTTAATACTATATATGTTATTTCAGTTTGGAACACTTACACATTTACACAGTCATATACACACAAACAAGTTGACTACATACAAGTATTTTATTCACTACTACTTGAGAAGAACTCATTTTCTCTTGAGAAAGTTATATGCTAGTGTGAATGGTTAATACATATGGCATAGTAACTGATCATAAAAATAATTTTCTCTATAAAAAAGGCACTAAACAATAGAAATAATAACCATAAGAGGAGGAAGAGTAATCAGAGAAACAGCCTGCAGCACATTAAACTTTTATGTTGTTTTTAATTTTTAGAAAACAGCTGGGTTATCAATATATAACCATGTCTGCATATGCATATGTCACATACCAGAAAGAATTATTTTTCAAGATGAATAATTTTTTGAAGTATTTGTGACTCCCCCAACTAAAGAATATATTTTTATCTTCAGCTGTTTAACCTCTCTTTACTCTTTTTTATTTCTCTATCTCTTTGGTAATTTTTTTCACCTCTTTACCATTTTTAGCAATTCTATTTTCCTAGAATTACGTATTTTATAGAGATTGGTTGTTTTCTGGTTATAAATTCTGCTGAATTTGACTGACTTCTCTGTCCTTATATAGCCCTATTAAATCTTTCAAATAACGTTTTAAAAAAATCTAAAAACCAAGGAAAGAAGATCAAACAAGTTTACTATTATTTTGTTAGATTGAGATAACATTAGTTGTCACTGCATATTTTAGGAGTTCAGGTTCCCACCTTTTCATGTGTATGTTATCACACAACAACCACCACCAAAGTACCAGTAACTATCCCCCACTCTGGTGGACCCACTCTGACCTTTGCTTCCACCTCCCCACCCTGAATCTGGTAACCCCACTTCTACAGACAGATCCAAGGATTTGTTTAGGTTTGATTTTTATCAGTTCCTTTACTTTGTTTCTTTATATGCCACATAAATGATATCATCCATTTTCTTTCTACTTCTTGACTTCCTTCCTCTTAGCATAATCTCCTCAATTTCCATCCATGTTGTCACAAATGAAAAAATTTCATCCTTTTTTGCATTAGTCCATTGTATATATATGCTACATCTAGCTTCACTCTTTTGCATATGGCTGTCTACCTTTTCAGGACCATTTGGTGAAGAGAGTTTCCTTATTCCATTGTATGCTCTTTGCTCCTTTGTCATAAATGAACTATTCATATAAATGTGAGTTTATTTCTTGGCTCTCAATTCTATACAGTTCATCTGTGTCTCTATTTTTATTTCAGTCACATACTCTTTTGATTACTACGGATTTGTAAAATAAAATTTGGGCATGTGAATCCTCCATTCTTTTTTCTTGGGTTTCGCTATTAAAGATCTTTCATGATTCCACACAAATTTTAGTAATGTTTGTTCTGTTTCCTTCAAGAATGACATTGAAAGTTTGATAGGAATTGCATTAAATGAATATTGCTTTGGTAATATGTCCATTTTAATAGTGTTAATTCTTCAAATCCATGAGCCCCTGATATCTTTCCATTACTTTATATGTTCTTCTAT